ATGATATGCGTTCTAGTCATATATATCACCATTTAGAAAATTATTATAAGCATGGCCTTAATCAACAAATTCAGCTAATTATCATATACTCTCTCGGGTGATTGAACTTCTAGTGTAACACCCGTCCGTCATAGATGCCTAAACAGTTTGTTATTCATCCGATCATACCAAAACGTTTTCTTCAAACTTCACACACGAATGAAATCATTGCACACAACTCTTGAAGTTTACTCACTTGAGGAAAAAATGGAAAAAATGGTGAGTAAACAATACTCAGTGAGGCGAATCAATTCTGCCCACTGAAACATATAACACTTTCTTAAGCTATACAACCATCATCATAACATATAAACTTAAACACAAGCAATCAACCTAACATGTTTTAACTTCTAGCAAAACATTCATCACATCTATCTTATCCATACTAACACATACATACATCGTTAGCTCCAGTCATCCTCGTGATGACTATAACCTCCTTAGTGGAGGCTGGCCCTCGTGGCTCAGACACTCCTATTCCGGCTCGTCAGCAGTTCTTGACCAGTTGTTTACCCGTCTGTCCATCACTCTCCATCATTACTTGAGAGACCACGGTCCATTGTTCGGTTCTCCCCAGTCAAACATACATATACATCATTATACTTAACTTTCTCATACATAACATTCCATAGTCAAACATCATATTCATACATATCTATCAATAATCATCAAATCATATCATCACATAATTTTATCCTACACAATCATACCATGAATTAAGAAGTATAATAAAATAAAATGATATAATGTTTCGCAAATACCACCCTCACCTTTTTTTTCTTGACGACAATAACTCACTTTTCCTTTTTTTCTCTTTTAGACCAATTTAATATCTTGACTACAACCACATGCTCTTAAGCTCCACCTTGGTTCTCCATCAACCAAGACCTGAATCCATGAGTCATGGAAGCTCCTGCAAGGCTTCAGCTCAAACCAAGCTTGTTTTTTCAATCAAAGAATAAAACTCGTCATGATTTATTCTATACAAAACTGTCTCGGATACATACGCATAAGTCAATAACTAACCGTTAGAAATGTAATCCCACCGTTGATTATCTAGCCAGTAGTATCTTGAATGCACCCACAAAGTTTCATCCCGATCAGACGTAACATGAATCTCTCACGTTCTCCTTAAGATGATGCATCATAACTGTTTTCTGGATTTCTGCAAATTGAGATGATTCTGGGTACGTAATCTTTCAAGATGATTTTCGGATGGGGCTTATATATGATTGACAAGCCGTAAGTTACACTGATTCCCTTGAAGTGAGATCTTTCCACTGACGCATTAATTTAGATCTAAGTCTTTCTGGTCCATCGGAAAAATGTCTCACAAAACCACTAGCCACACACTGTTCTGGATTTATACTTACTACAGATTCGGACAGCTTATGTAATTACTTGTCCAGAAAGAAACGTGCATAAATTCTCGAATACATACTTGATTCAAAGTCCGTCACTTTCTGTAGCTTCATGGCAACATGATCTTTCAAGAGATGTCTCACTCGTCATCTGATTCTCCCTGGTATGACGGGAATCCGCCTCACAAAACTCCAATTTGAAGCCATTCTTTTCCCTTCGTCTTCTTTCTTCTTTCTTCTTTGTTTCTGTTTTGCTTTGCCCCAACATTGACATGCTCTTATCTTCTCCATCTCGGCTTCTACTTACTCTCATTGAACCAAATCTCTTCCTCTCCATGTTTCTCCAGTGCGGTAGTGATGATTCGTTCTAGTCCCTGACGTCTCGTTCGCCATCTCCACTTCCTTCTCCATTACACTCTTCTCTTCTATCATCTCTTTCTTTCTCCTCAAGCCAAATTACGCTCTCTCTCTTTTGAATTAAGTTCTCTTTCTCTAATGGTGTTTAATTTCTCTCTCATCTCACGATGAAGACGACACGTCGACATGACACAACGGTGCCACACATAGCCTCGGCTTCCTCCACCCATGAGCTCTTTCTCTCTTGTTCTTTGATCTAATAAAACAACTCACCACAACTTCTTAGGTTTGGTAACTCGGTGGCGGCTATCTCACTATTATGACTTAGGGTTTCTCAAGCTTTGTTTCTTTCCTCTCATCAAAAGCGGCTAAAGTTTATTTATCTTAACAGAGAAGAAGATAACTAAATATACAAATATACATGTCGTTTTTGTGGTCTTTCATTAACTTGGACCTTAAATGAGATATATCATAATGTTAAAATAAAATGGTCCGATGATGTGGGAGTGGGGTGTTACATCTAGTCCATAACATATATCAAAAATAGAAGTATATCTGTATCAAATTGGACTTCAGGCCCAAATTGTTTTACATATAATCTTCTAAACATTCATCTTATACATAGGGGTTATTCATACTCTCCTTGTAAAGCTTACTATTTTAACTTTCTTTTTAGTATGGTACTTTTAGACTATTTTCTATGTAAAATTATGTAAGAATTTTTGAGATAACATCTCTTTCGCTAGATGACCAAATTGCAATCCCAAGAAATTTCATAAAGACTCGGATTCATGAACAATCTGATTTCTAATTTTCTCTCAAATTAAAATATTCCACTGTATATGAATTATCTACAGAAGATCCAATAATGTTTAAGTCATCAACATACTTTGTAAATATTTTTGTAGCTTTCTTTTAAACAAACTAGGTCAAAACCCGCGCTATGCTGCAGGATACTTTTAAAAATGTACCACCTGATTCGGAGTCTAGAAACTTCACCAATAACATGCCTATTACAATCTGTCAGAAGACAACAATTAAGTCAGTAGTTTTCGCAGCTAAAGATTAACTAAGAGCTCTTCATTTCTAGACCAATGACAGCAAAAAAAGAAAGAAAGAAAAAAGAAACCGAATTTGGGTCAAAATATTTTTTTTCTTACAGATGTACTAATACATTTTCAAACAGAACGTCAATGTTGTTATTAAAGAAAAATATAGCAAATAAGCATGTCTTTCTAGGCATCGATGGTAAAGCTTTGACATAGTGAGCACTAACAGAACATTTATTTACCTGAGTTTTTCCCTAACTACTACAGCAAAAACATTATCATCTTGTTCTATTTGGACAAAGGCAGGTGCAGAGCTGAGCCATGATTTCAGAGTCCTTGAAAACCAAGGAAACAAGTATAAATAAACAGGGAGAGACTACAATGTTTGAATCACTTTTTTCGGAATGCTTACGAGACATGCATTGGAAATTTCATAAAGCAGAATGATCTACAATTTAATATGTACCAAATCATAGTGAACTCTAGAGTTTTATTTCCAAAGAACTAACCTTTGTTAGAAGGATCAACACTGTCAAGCTTAGAAACCTGAAGCCCAACCCCAAGACTTCCTTAACATTTTTCTCAAGAGAAACAAAAGTTGAGCAAGGAATCACTACAAGAAAACCTGCGTTTTGCAACTAAACTTTGCGACCGAATTATTAGTCGCAAATGTTTGCGACTATTTTGTGACTTCTGAACGACCATTTAGCGACCACAATATTTACAGATGGAATATAGTCGCTATTCTGCGACTAAAACAAATAGTCTTTACTTAGTCGTTAATTTGCGACGATTTTAAAACCGATTACATACTAATTTATTATAGTCGCAAATGGGTGGCTGATATGCGACTGATGTGCGACTCAACTTTTGGTCTCAAATGATCGTCGCAATTGAGTCTCAAAAGAGCGACTAGTTAACAATCACCTGTTATAGTTACACTTTCGTTGCAAATTAGTTGGAAAGAGTTGGCTCAAAACACGTTGAAATGCAGAGAAAGCGACCGGTTTGCGACCGGTTTGCGACCGGTTTGCGACTAGCACCTGAAGATTTTGCGACTGACACCTGAGAGAGCGACCAGCTTGCGACTATTTACTAACTATCGATTTTTGGTTTTACAAATTTCACATTTTAAATTTGTTTACATATAAAGTTAAACAATTCTACACTAATTTGATGTTACTTAGTAATAAAAACAAAACCAAAGTCATATATATTGATGTTTACAAACAAAACATTCAAAACTACCAAATCTCTTTGTCTTGTTACATTACTCTTATGAGTAATGTTTAGAGATTTAGTAAAATATCTATATTACTTTGGTTTTGCAAAGTTGTTCAACCTTAAACTAATATATGTCCTCTACAACACTAATATGAGTGTTTGTGAGTGATATATATCACCCTTTTGGATCACAATGTGTAGATTTCTAAATTTTGTCTTGTGACTAATAGATAACAGTCACAAAACAGCGCAAAAGTGCCACCATTTTGTAACTATTGTTCATTTAGCGACTATTTTGCGACAAATATTGTAACTATTTGCCGACCAATGTTGCGACTATTTTGATACTAATTGTGAAATTTCTAAAATTTTTGCTAAGTGTTTGGTCGAACTTAGTAATAAGAACTCAACCAAGATCATAAATTTTGATGTTTACTAACAAAACATTCACAAGTACCAAATCTATTTATACTTTTACATTACTCATATGATTAATGTTTAGGGATTTAGTAAAATATCTATATTACTTGAGTTTAGCAAAGTTTTTCTACCTAAAACACTTTTATATCCTCTATACCACTAATATGAGTGTTTGTGGGTGATATATATCACCATTTTTGATCACAATGTGAAGATTTCTAAATTTTGTCTTGTGACTAATATAAAACAGTCACAAATGAGTCGCTAAATTGGGACTAGTTTGGGACCCTTGTCCATTTAGCGACTGTTTTGGGACGTATCTTCTGACTATTTACCGACCAATATAGCGACCATTTAGCTACGGTTTGTGAAATTTCTATGTTTTTGGCTAAGTGTTTGGGTGGTTTCGATTCCCCCCATTTTTTTTGGTTTGTCACTAGTTTGCAACTAAAGAGCGACCAATACACTTAATTATTAGGTTAAAACAAAGTCGATTCTACCCTATACACACCAAATATTCTCAGTTAAATGAAAAGCCCACTCTCTATTACTCTTCATCCTCGACACTTAAGAAAAAAATACCTTATTCTCACCCTTCATCCTCGACATCTCCGACCAAACCACTCTCAAACCCTAGACTGCGATATCTTAAACTTCACCCTCCGCATCTCCGACCATCACATGGCTTCCTCCGGCCAAGAGAATGACCGTCGTCGCCAACGCCCATCCAACTCGGGTCCGGCAGGTACTGTTTCTCTCCCTCGATACCTTCTCCTCACTCTTACTGTCTTCCTTTGATTATGTGTCCCTAGATCTATTGGGTCTTATCAATTTCGCTTTAGATTTCAGATCCACCATCTCTTTGTCACTCTCGCTCTCATCCCCAGATTCTTCTTCTTCTTCAATTCGATAAAATTTTCATTCTCAAGCTTCTTCGCTCGTCTCAGATAACCCTAATCCATATATTTTGATGTCGGTGGCTGAAACCCTAACCCATCTTCGTCGCTCCGTTCTTCGTCGCTCTGTCTCACTTCCTCCGCTTCTCTTGTTTGTCCCTTTTCGATAAACCCCAAATCACGACCGAATCTTGATAATTGGAGATAGCGAAGCGTTTATGGTGTTTTGGGAGAACAATTCATAGTTGTGAAGTTAGTTGATTTTGAGGTGGGTCTGCTCTGTAATTTTGGAATCTGATCAGAATTGTTCATGAATTAGTCAGACTCACATATGTTTCACTTATTTTCGTCTCTTGATTTGAGTTGAGTAATCTCTGTGTTGAAACTTCTAATAAAGGTTAGATTTTGATCAATGATAGTCTCTGTAGTTTGAGTTTAGGAGTCAAATTTTGTGATAAAATTAGTTGGTTTGCCTAAATATTTGAAATGATTTTACCAGGTGAAGAAATCTAAGTATGTCGAGCAGAACTCAGGATGTTCTAGAAGGATTGGTTAAAGATAGTTCACTTAAATGGTTGCTTGGGTCGAAGACATAGAGAATTATCCATCTGCTGGATCCAATTGGATACTTGAGTTTTCTCCAGTAGCAAATGTAGTTATTCGCAGGTGTTCAAAGTAAGAATGTTTCATTTTTAGTTACCATTAATCCATAGAATTGAATCGGATTCTAAGGCATTATTTGGAGTTTAGCCCTGTTTAAAAAGGTTCAAGTTTTGAGCAAGATAAGCTAGCTTTTGGTATGCTAATGAAATCATTTATGTTATGGAATGGATTTGGATGCAGAAACTAGCACGTATTCTGCTTTTGTTCAGACATGTGTTCTGCCTTTGTTAATATGTTGATTATTGTGGAAACTCAAAATCTTCAGAAGTTTCTAATTCATGTAATCCATCTAGTCTATGTTCTTCATGTTAGCTATTCAACTGTAGTGATGGAATACATGAATCTTCTAATGTTTGACTTTAGTTTAAGCTTTGTTTTAATCTTGAATCTTGTTAGTATAGTGGCTGCTCATCTAATTTGCTTAAGTTTGTGTTTGTATATTGATTCTAAGAAACTACTGTGTTTGTTGTATCTCTGTTATTATTTGTTTAAGTATGTGCTTGTTCTGTACTTCTAATTTACCTTTCAATAACTAGTGTTTCCTTTCCCTAAGTTAACCTATGATAGCATATCAGCATATAATCTCAAGGATAGCATTCTCCTTGAGATGGTAAATGGTCTTCTAATTTTCCAATGTTATTAGTTTTTGCTTCTACATTTCGACTAATATTCCTCTTTATTTTTGTACATGGTTAAGGCTGGTTTGGATGGCATGGGCACGATAATGAATGAGCTGTCTAAAAGCGTAGTTAAATGCTCTTAGTGCAGTTTCTGGTGGGCAATTCTTCAGCAGCCGGCAACTAGACATGCCGTGCAAGAACACCTCATAACAGCTGCTGCCACAACCGGGACCTTGGTCAGGAAGGGTATAACTGAGACAAAGGAAAAGGTTTCCGTTGGAAAGATCAAAATGGAAGAGGTATAGCTTCTTGAATTGACTTGACAAGAATGTTTGTCGCTTCATTTTATAACTTCTGACACCTAAATTCTTTGATCTTTGTTTTCTCTTAGGCAGCCAAAACAAAAAAGCAAGACCATTTTGACGGACATCGAAAGGTGGCAGAATGTACTTGAGTCTAAAATCTGATTGTATGCCGTTGATTTGAAGTTTGGTCTCTAATATCTATTGTTTGTAAATCTGCAGGGAGTTGCCAGCTCAGATGGTAAGTTAATCGCAATTTATGGAGAGAATACAGTTTATAAACATTTAGTTAATCGAAAAGGTCAATTGATTCTTTGATGGAGGGTAGTGGGGATACTTAATCCTCTTATTAGTCCGTTCTTGAGATAACTATTAGTTATTAAGATTCTGCTCTGCTTGTTTGAAATGCTGTAACTTTCTCTATATGATGTTTTTTTTGGCACTCAGTGTTTGGTGTTCCGATTGAGATCATTGTCCAGCGGCAAGAGTCAAGCAGGCCTATACCACTGATACTGATTAAATGCGTAGATTATCTCATATTAACAGGTAATAATGTTTGGACCAATGGATCACAAACCTTTTATTGCTCTTACCTTCTCATATCGAGTTATCAATGTGATATTTTCCTCTTACCAGGGCTTAATTCACCGAACTTGTTCAAAGCCGAAGGAGATAAAAAGTTGATTCAACAGTTGGTTTCTGCTTACAATCAAGGTAGCCGACATTCTAACAAGATTTGACTCGACTCTTATAGCTTAGTGAGAAATTGTAATTTTATTGAATCACTTGTTTGGCAGATCCTAGTGTGTCAATACCTGAGGGTGTGAATCTAGTTGATGTCGCTGCACTCATGAAATACTATCTTGCCACCCTTCCGACACCCTTCCAGGCACCATAGGAGCTGCAGTCCAACCAGCAGGACACACCACTGGAACCACACCAACCTCTCCTCTATCTAACACCGCCTCAAATCATTCAACTTGATTTTAGTTTCCTTTTGTCTGTGTATGTGAACTTATTAGGATATGTTATGCTTTGATTAGGATAGTTTTTGAATGGTTTGGAATGGTACTTGATTGATATTTGAATGGTTTTTGAATGCATTTTCTTTTGAAATGGACAGGTTTCGGACTAATAAGATGTAACCATTCTGTGACCAAAAAGTTTCAGAAATTCTGACTAGTTTGTGACCAGAACAATTAACAACAATTAACAAATGTGACCAAACTGTGACTAAACAAATTTACAAATAACTCCAAATCTCGTATCAAAATGGTTATTAATAAAGGACTATATTGGCACCATAATATATGAGTCCTAAAATAGTCGCACATTTGCAACGATATTCACCTGTCACAGATTAGTCGGTAATTTGCGACGATATATTTATAGTCGCAAAATAGTCGCAAATTAGCGACTATAGTGATACACGGAAATTTTGCAACCGTTTTCTTGCGACCAATGGAAACAGTCGTTATTCAGTTGCAAAACCCTCTTTTGCGATCGTTTAGCGACTAATATCACAGTCGCAAATGAAGTGTTTTCTTGTAGTGAATAGATTTCGAGAGAACGTTCAGTCTCAAGGACCAACTTTCTCACTTTCCTGCAATGTAACTGTGTAAGACAGAACAACTCTGCAATATTAAGCTTGAATTCGTCTCACAGGTTCATATAATTTTTCAATAAAATGAATGTTTGAACCTTTGTCCCTTACTTGGTGCTTTCCACAATGATTTAACATTCTACTAATGTATGAAGAATCAAGGTAAGAGAATAAATAAGCTGGTAAATGAATATTCACTATCATGTGGTGTCCATCACGACCAACTGACCAAGCAATCAAACCAAGCGTAATGTCATTTGTACATATGAGTTAGTAATCGAGAGATGAATTGGAATCATGGTAAGCTAATCAACAATATATTAAAAGCCATTATTTCGTAAGATAGAAAATACTCTAACAAACTATATATCTTCTTAATAATAATAAATATCAATCTTCATTCAAAAAAAAAAAAAAAAAAAATATCAATCATGAAAGGATCATGAATGAGCTTGGGAAATTTTAAAATCAAGATAGAAATTTGAGAAGAAAAAAAGCTTTCCCTGTAAATATAAGGGTTTTAAAGTCTCTCAGAATTCTCTGTACTGGTAAGCATTGTGGAAGTCGAAACTAACACAATCAAGATTTGTCTAGGGTTTTATTTTAGGGATACGATAAGCGTGAATTCTCAAAGAACAACAGAAACAATTGTAACCAAAGATGGTGTTCTTGATCTTATTGACGAAAAGAGTAGTTTTGATCGTACAAGAGTTTGATTGTAAAAGAAAAAGGTGTTTGTGCTGTAAGAGCTTTGTGTAGTGTAAATTTTAGAGCGATATTGCTTGCCCCTCTGTAAGAGCCTTGAGTATCTTTTTATAGCGATGATAAACCGTCTCTCCAGCGATATTCTCGGAAGATTTCCATTTATCTTGAAGTCGGCGTAGAATATCGCGGATTAGGATAGTTTCCTTATTCTTCGGAGTCTTTTGGAAGATTCCTGATTTGAGTTGATCCTTCGAGATTCTTCCTAATCATTTCTGGGTTTATCGGAAATGACCCTTCTTTTTCGGAAATGATGCCTTGCTTGGAAATGGTACTTCGAAGGTGAATATTCCTCTAAGTCTTTGCCTCGGGATGTCTTGGTGCATTCCTCCTCGGGTACAACATACGTTTCGCCTCGGGTAGCACTGACATTTCACCTCGGGGAGGAGTGAGGCTTTGTCGCGAGCATTGTTAATACTGCCTCGGGGCAGCATGTTCATTCGGCTCGGGTTAAAGTGAAACGTTATTGCCATCCCAAGCCGTCGCACCCCGAGCTAATCTAACCGATGTCCCCCGAGGCAATTTGGTCAGTGTTCCCGAGCCAAATCAACACAGTGTCTCACGAGCCGATTTGGAAGATGGCCCGAGCTGGCTGTCAATGTACCCGAAGTGTTATGGTTTGGCTCGGCCATAGTACGGGTGAAATCCGACCCCAACAAGCATTATCTTAACTAATGAGATTCATGACCTAAGACAAGGACAATGAGCTGAATTGTGGGTCTAAATTAGTTAAATTTTCACTCCTTGGTTTAACCGTAAAAGAGATTTATAAAGAGTAACCATCAGTTTCTCTTTTTTTTTTTTTGAACAAACTTAGATTAATATTGAAAGTAAAACAGAGTTACACTCCAACAACAATCAAAGCGTATAAAAAATTTCCACAGAAATTAAAGTAGGGAAAACTATGAATTCTACCATAAAAAGGTGGGACCCTTAACAAAAATACCACATTTGTGTAAACTCCTCAAAATTACCACTTTCTTGTGGTAGAGATGTCATGAAGAGACCAAAATACCCTTGTATTAATGGGAAGCAAGACATATTTTTATTCTCTTCTTTTTCTTTATTTTAATATTTTTTGTCCAACATTATCAATTCATCGAAATAGATTCGTCAAAGATGATATCACACACATATATGGACAACAACCAAATATACATGTCTAAATTTGTCCACCAAACTAAAAATTATAAGTATATACATATATCATGAAATAAATACAAATAAGTCTGTAGTATCTGCTTCGCATGGACAAAAAAAAACCATATATATACATCTTGGACCAATAATCGTCGATAACGTTTGCTTGAAATTTTTAATCTGGTAAATGGACAATATTTTTAAAGTAATAAAAGCATGGACAAAAAAATGTAATCAGATTCCTATTAGTCTATTACTTAAGTGGACAACATTTCAGATTCAGATCAATGATATTGTCCACAACATCTTTGGTTTCCTCGTAAACATCTTCTTCTCTGTCTGGCCAAAATGACGAAGTATTAGAACTATATGTTGATTGATATTATAATAGTAGACAATATATGTTGATTGATATAAGAATAATGGACAATATACATCTTCGGTTTCCTCGTAGACATCTTTTTCTTCGTCTTCAGTTTTCTAGTAGACATCTTCGTCTTCTTTTTTCTCTCGTAGACAACAAACATTTAATATGCATAATATCGAAATTGAATAACCAATTAAAAACAAAATTAAAACCAGTGAATCGTCAAATTTAGATGGGAGAATGAACTTGATTTAGATAGGAAAACTAAAAGATCTATTCTTGAGGATATCAAAATTTATAGATCTGAATATTTTGATCCACAGTGGTGATATAGAAGAGAAGAAGACGATGGTGGAGATGGAAATAGATATAATTAACTTCAAACAAATCTTAGATCTAAACAGAGAAAGAAAAAGAAAAGGAGAAAGAGAGAAAGGAAGAGGATAAAGAGAGAGAGGAAGAAGGAGAGAGCATGAAATGATAAAAAAAGAGAAGAAGAGAAGATATTTGTGTGTGTGTTTGTGGAGAAAATAAGGAGTAAATGGTCATTTCCAATTTTACAAAGTGGTATGGAGGAAAAGTTTTTTAAAATATGGCATTTTTGTAGGAAAAACTTGAAAAAGTGGTAGATTTGGCAAATTTCCCATTAAAGTATATTAGTTTCAGCCATAGCTTTTTATCAAGACGATAAAGGTCTAATATCATTCACCGATTCAACACCACAATGTGCCATTAACAATTTAACACTATGGAATCCTAATTTTATGAAATCAAACATAAATAAGAAGAGTCTTATAAGATACATGGGGATCACAATTACGGCATGCGTAGAGGAGGATTGATTGCTCCTTGTCTTCCTTATGCGGAGAGGTTCATAAACTGCAAAAGTGGAGACAAATTGGAGTTTTAATCAAATTGATGTAAAAAGCAAACTCACCACAGCTAAAACTCTTGACGAATTTTTGGAAATCTATGGACATAGACGAACTGTACCTAATTCAAGATAAACTAAGAGATGAAAACCCGAAAGTCAAGTTCAGAAGATTTAGAGCAAAAAACAGATTCGTATTTACCATTTACGACCTAGAATTTGCAAAGAATGTCCGCCTTCGTCACATATATAGAAGAAGATGCGCAGGAGAGAAGACAATTGCGTTTATGGACATCAGCTCTTGCTAAGTCCCATGCGGGCTCTCGTCAGCCTGAGGCGGCAAATCGGAGTCGGAGTACATAGCTGCGATCTACCAATTTCAGACTTCTTAATTCTTCAATCAAAAACATCTCCGATCGAGTTTATCATCTCGCGGAAAAGAAGAAGATGCAGGAGAGAAAACAATTATGTCTCCACCTTGGCAAATTTTAAGCTGAGCTGTATTGGGAAAAATGTCATTTAATCCCCCAATTTTCAAATTGTGACCATTTAATACATCAACTTTATATGTGACCATTTAAAACATGAACTAAACGTTGACTAACGTTTGAGACATGAAAATTCGTTGACCAGGCTAAAATAGACATGCTGTTATCAATTGTTAACGAAACCTTTAACGCCCTGATGTGGACATCACATTTGCTGATGTACTTCCTGATGGACTTGCTGAACGACTTCTTGAACGACTTGCTGAAGGACTTTTTGAACTACTTCCTGACTAGGTAAACAAAGAAAGCGAATCATTCATCCAACTTGGATCATTCAAATTAGGTATTTCAAATCCTCCAAATGAAGAAGAAGCTTACAAAACATCTTTGGTCTAAATATCAAAAGGAAGCAAAGAGAAATCCAAACTTTCCTTATTCGGCTTAATCAAATTAGCATTGATTGCCAAGGAGGATTGCTTGCTAGAAATCCTTGATCCACCATTTAATCCAGAGAATGCACCTAGACGTCCTCAAGTCTCCCAAGACGTATAGCTCAATCAATGCCCACGATTTGTCCCTCATCATCACCACCAATCACGCATTCTCCATTATGTTGATTGATTTGTATTTAATTTTGAATATTTTTTTTTAATGTAGATTAGACCATGTAAGAGTTATAAAAAGGCTCAGTTGTTTCATTGTAAAGACACCACGAACTTTGAAAGTAATAGAAAGAGTTTTCTCTAAAGCTTAGGCTTTATTTTTGTTTATCTAAGTTAGGTGGATTTCTTTACTTAGTAAACGTTTGTTCTTATGTCTTGTTGAGCGAGTCATCAAGGCTTAGAGCTTGTGCTGTATCAGAGTCTTATCACAACTCTGTGGTGCACTTCGCCCCGCCATCTTTTTCCCTCATTTGATCCCACACGAGAGAAGCGACCGCCATCGTGTCATATTTCCACCTTCGACCATCTTTCCTTCACAAGAGAGAAGCGATCACCAGCTTGTGAAGCCGCCATATCTATCCGCATACGAGTCTCACCACTGAGTCTTGTATCACGCCCGTTATCACTTCTAACGACTCTGCTAGTCAACTTTCAAATTGTGGCCATTTTAAACATCAACTTCATATGTGGCCATTTAAAACATGAACTAAACGTTGACTAACATTTGAAACATGAGAATTCGTTGACCAGACCAAAATAGACATGTACCTTATAACATCCGTTTTCACCCATTAAAATATAAAATCACTACTTTTAGAAAACAAATCACGGGACGGGTTTAGAAATTACGAGACGGGTTATATTTTGGAACGGGTTTATATGGTAGACGAGTTTGAATCAATATTTATAAAATTTTAAAATATTATTAACATGCCGCTTTAATAGGGATTATCCCGCAGTGTATCACGGGTTAAAATTTAATTAAAATTATAATATAATTGCGACCCGACCTATCACCTATGAATCCATCGAGTTTAAATGGATCTCCTCAAACCATGGATCTATTTAGATTTAACGAAACAAATTTTTGATAGATTTTATTGGGCCTATTATTATGTATAACTCAATATAGTTATTGGGCTCCTATATATATAATTCAACATGATTATTGGAATTCAACATGATTATTGGACTTCCGTTTACTTGTACGTCATCTAAATATTCATAGAGGTCAATTTATTTGTTGGACTAGGATCAATATAATTTTTTTTAATAAAAGCTCATTTGTTTTTCAAAATTCCACTGGGATCATTTGATCTCTATAATTCTTCATTTCCTTCGTCCCTGTCTATGAGCACACAAATTTATTAGTAATAATTTTATGGTTGTATTAGTAATAAATAATTAACTGCCAGAAATTCAACGGAAAATTATAAAATTGAATTGTGTGTGAAATACCATAGAATAATATACATATACCTATATAGTATATATAGAAATGAATGAAATAAAATTAAGGATATGTCAGAATAAACTCAAGATTTGTTGTCCGAATATTTTTAATATGGCCGCTTCATGTTTAGGTTGATAAAAATAAGAAAATAAGTGGGTGGGATATTTGCACAAAAAAAAAAAAGTGGGTGGATATAGAATTGGTAAAATAGATAAATCAAGAGTAGCTAAATTAGAATGGTGCCAATTCAACGACCACGGACTACTGCAACAGATCTAACCCATTTCTACATTTAAAAAGATGTCCTCCCTCTTACTTCACTCCTTCCTTTAGAGTTTTAAGTCAAGATCCAGTTTAAAAAGAACAGAGTTATTTGTGATATTTTTAAACTGTAAAAAAAAGAGAGGTAAATTACTCTTCTCCACTTTAATTTTTCTCTCTTTGTTTTTTCAATATTATATTTATTTCTTGTAACAATACATAAATACTACCAATATGTTGTAATTCATTTAAGCTTACTGTATATACAATATGTTATTGGATATTTCTATTATTTATTTTACCTTCAATTCTCTAAAGTCTAAACAATCAATACAAAACTGTCTAACTATCTAAGTATGTTTGCTAGCAAATAAATAAAGACGGGCAAATGAACCTCAATTTACCAATACGTATAATACAGTTATGATGTGAGCGGGTAATTATTTTCAAAATATATATTAGTTTATTTTAAAGATAATTTTGATTCCAAAGAATCCAAAGAAGAGAACAAAATGTAGGTAGACCAAGAAAAGTATGAACTTTTTTCGGTGATTTATATATATGAACGAACAAGAACGGAGCGTCGAGAAGGACAAGAAAAGCATACAAATTAAATACAAAATAATCATTGATATAAATAGTAATGCGGGTTTTCCAAAGGCTTCCTAGGTCCAAGGACTAATTCCACGAGGCTGGCAATTCCCCTATGTAAACCTGCCAGGACCGTGCCTCGAACTCTGGTGGCGGAAGTCACAGCTGTGACCCCTTTACCACTAGGCCACAAGGCCCGATTGATATAAATAGTAATCATGCAAGAAAAAATTGAATTGAATGCAAATGAATAAAACTGAACGAAATTTGAGAACACTATGAATATATTAACTTCTTGCTTAACCACAACCAACAAAAAATATGTAAACATTGATCTTTCATCTTTACATGGTATTCACGTACTGCTAATTTTGTTTCTTAGCTTTTTGATTCTTTGTACATGATAACTATTTGACTAATGGACGATAAAATATAATATCATTTTCTCAAAAGTTGCTTTGTTACCATTTGTAGCAATGGTAATTGATGGTTGCCTGCTGAAAGATACCTTAATTATTACACCTACACATATATGATCTAACTTTACACCCTTAAATTAACCCATATCCCTTGGTTTTAGTCATTAAAAAAAAACAAAACGTAAAGCATTTTCGATATATATAACATAAGCAAGAGCTTCCGGACGACAAATCACCAAACTCAAAGGAGACAAATGTAATAAACGAAAACAGACTGTACACAAAGAAAATAAGAGAAATATGGTTCTTAGAAGCTCAATCTCCAACACAAGAAAGCTCTTCCAAAAAACTATCGACAACTTCAAGTCATTCTTCTTCAACAACGGCACGTATCATAAATTACCAAAAACACCTAACAACACCTCTACCAATAATACTAATGATCATCCAAAGTCCAACATCATCACATCATTATCATCATCATCATCATCCATACACAAGCAGTTTCAACCTAAACCCAAAGACTATGTGACCACAAACAAAGATTTAACTCTACAACCGAGAAGAGAAGACAGAGACGAGACACTATTTTCTCAACCAAAGGTAAATCTTGTTCGTAGAAAGCTAAAGGAGATGGAGAAAATGATGAATGATGATATAATAAGCGATGATCATTATGTCTCAGATGTAAGAGAGTTTTTGCATTGCTACTCTCGTCTTCGTTACACTGCTTACCTCGACGTGGTTGAGCATTTTTTCATGGAGGTCTACTCTGATTTCTTTAGCCCTCATCGTCTCGAGGGCACCCGAACGGCTGTAAAAAGAAGGCACCCCGCGGTGGTTGGAGTTGGATCGTACGGTGGTCGGTGGCCATAAATATTGATGGAGAAGTTCAAATATAATCAGTGATTGTTATGAATAGATTGTATTTGTTTTATTTTTTACTCTTTTCTTTTCTTCATATTTTTGTTAACTTCGTGAATCGGTGATTGTATATGGCTGTATTTAGTAGTGTTTTAATTTTCTAATTTTACAAAAAATAATTGATGAAGCCTTATTTCTTTTGTTGGTTTCGGTAATCCAGTTTTTAATTTGTCTGAAATTTGCAAATAACATTTTATGAAACGTTATATTTTTGTCATCTAGTTTGATGGGTTATATATAACTTTTCCTTTGCATTCTCAAAGGAGTTCGAACCCCAACTGGTTTCATGTTTACGTTAAGGATTTGGCCTTACCGTGAGATCAAATAACTGCAAAAAAAACAATCACTTTTTGACGAAAAAACTGTTGAATTCTTTTGCAAAATACCATTTTCGACGGATTTAGTCCATCAGTTATATTTCGTTGGAAATTGAAATCTGACAGGTTAAGTCCCGTTAAAAACTAACGACAATTTTCCGACAATTTTCCGAAGAATTTCTTACAACTATTACATACATATTTAGCGTTTTGGGCTCTATGGACTTGTTGATGTAGGAGACGTAGCTAGATCTATCCTCATCAGGCTCCATACATTCAGGTGCAAGTCAAGTGGTAATGTTAGATTGTTTTTATTAGAGGCCCTCATCATACTCTCCCTTTTCAAAAGGATTTGTCCTTATATCCTGATCATTACCATGAATATCCTTTAATATGAGGATCTTCTCTACGACTGTGTTCTTCTTTTTGTTGTGAAGATATATTAATTAGGAATGACTTGTTGGAACAGCTCCTCTAAGTCATTGCACGGTCACATCCAACATATATTTTCCTTTGAGATGTGCGAGTTTGAGACCCTCCAAGCCATGAATGTTGGAGGAGCCACGACCATCCCAATAAGACATGTGAATCGACAAGACGATTCTGAAAACAATTCTCAAGAAGGAGACGTCAAAGGAATTGTGGGAGTCAATGAAGAAGAAATATCAAGGTAGTAATAGGGTGCAGAGCGCATAACTACAGAGGCTGAGAAGAAATTTCGAAGTCCTTGAGATGAGATTTGGAGAGTCGATCGAAGAGTACTTCTCACGAGTGATGGAAGTTGCTAATGACATGCACAATCTTGGAGAAGATATGCCGGATTCAAAAATCGTTGAGAAGATTCTCAGAACGCTGGCTGAGAAATTCACATACATAGTGTGTGCGATTGAAGAATCAAAGGACATCAGGAGCATGACAGTGGATGGTCTGCAGAGCTCGTTGAGAGTTCATGAGCAAAACATGATCAGGCACGATGGAGAGGAGAAAGCTCTTAAAGTCGAGGGGCAATGGAAACCGAGCAGTAGCAGAGGCAGAGGAGGATATCCAGTCAGAGGAAGGGGCAGAGGAGGATATCCAGGTAGGGGTCGTGGTTTTGTCAACAAAGAGAACGTGGAATGTTACAAGTGTCACAAGCTGGGGCACTACAAGTCGGAATGTCCAGAGTGGGACAAAGAAGCAAATTATGTTGAAATGGAGGAAGATTTGCTGTTGATGGCACGCAATGAGGATGTCAAAACCGAAGAGGAACAAGTCTGGTTTTTGGACTCGGGCTGTAGCAATCATATGTGCGGCTCAAGGGAGTGGTTTATTGAGCTTGACAGTACCTTTAAGAGAAGCGTGAAGCTGTGGGATGACAGGAGAATGTCTATCGACAGAAAGGGAAAGCTGCGGCTTGAGATCAATGGGAGAACTCAAGTAATTTCTGATGTCTACTTCATACCTGAACTAAAGAATAATCTCTTTAGTGTGGGACAGCTGCAAGAGAAAGGTTTAAGAATCATCATCGAAGATGGAGAATGTGAAGTATGGCACAAAGAGGAGAAAAGAATGATAATGCATTCTACAATGGCAAAGAATATGATGTTTGTAATTCCTCCCATTGTCAGGAAAGTAAAAGAAGTAGAAGATGGCCGATGTCTACAAGTGATGGAGAAGACAACTGATTTATGGCACAGAAGGTATGGTCACCTCAACAACAAAGGCTTGAGATCGCTGGCAGAAAAAGACATGGTGATTAGGATACCAAAGCTGAGCCAAGAAACAGAAGAAATCATTTGTGATATTTGCATGACAGGAAAACAAAACCGAGAAAGCATTCCAAAGAAGAGCGTGTGGAAATCAACTCGAGTGCTCCAATTGGTTCACACCGACATATGCGAACCAATCACTCCATAATCTGAAAGCGGAAAAAGGTACATCATCAATTTCATAGATGACTATAGTAGAAAGTGTTGGACCTACTTCTTGTCAGAGAAATCAGAAGCTTTTAGAGTTTTTAAGGAATTTAAGGCTGGTGTAGAAAGGGAATTAGGGCAGATGTTGGTGTGTTTGCGCTCTGATAGGGGAGGAGAATATAACTCTAGGGAGTTTGATGATTATTGCAGGGAGTTTGGTATCAAACGTCAGCTCACAGCGGCATATACACCTCAACAGAACGGAATCGCAGAGAGAAAAAACAGAACAGTCATGAACATGACAAGATGTATGATGCTGGAGATGGGAGTTCCAAGACGTTTTTGGCCAGAAGCTGTTCAATATGCCGTATACAAACTGAACAGAATTCCATCAAAGGCCTTAGATGATGTCACACCGAAGGAGATGTGGAGCAATCAGAAGCCGTCGATGAGTCATCTCAGGGTATTCGGGAGTATCGCCTATGCTCTTGTGCCGTATGAAAGAAAGATTAAACTTGATGAGAAGAGCGTCAAGTGTGTACCGTTTGGAGTAAGCAAAGAATCAAAGGTGTACCGTCTCTACAATCCAGCAACGAAGAAGATAGTGATAAGCAGAGACATTCACTTTGATGAAACTAGAGGTTGGGATTTGGAAGAAAAACAAGAGGAGAAAGAACTCGCATGGGACGATTCACAGATTGAACCCACAGAAGAAGAGAATGTGGTTGCAGAAGGAAAAACCCTTTTGAAGAAGAAGAAAACGCTGTCGCTGAGGAAGCTCAACCACTTCCAGCAGCTCAAGTTCCTGTGAGAGAAGGTTCCAAGCGAACGGTTAGGAGACCAGTCTAGTTCAAAGACTTTGACACAAGAGATGCAGGGTTTTTAATAGAAGAAGATAACGGAGAGATTCTTGCGTTGTTCATAGCTTCAAAGGATCCAGAGAGCTACGAAGACGCAACACAAGAATCAGTGTGGAGAAAGGCAATGGAGACTGAGATTGCTTCTATAGAAAAAACAACACATGGGAACTAATCAATTAATTTGCCGGAAGGATCTAAGGTGATAGGAGTTAAGTGGGTGTTCAAAACTAAACTCAACGAGAATGGAGAAATCGATAAGTTCAAGGCAAGACTGGTTGCAAAAGGGTATCATCAAAAAGAAGGAGTGGATTTTCACGAAGTTTTTGCACCAGTAGCTAGATGGGATACAATAAGAGTGATATTGGCTGGAATGTTTTCCAATTAGATCGTGCAGCATTTATATGTCAAAATACAGAGGTTGGCAACTCAAATTGACTGGTAGTTCCACTTCTAGATTAATCAATCTTGAATTTAGAAGAATACCATATTTCTGGCAAAACCAAACAGATCTTTCGTACCAATTTTGAATCGATTATTAAACACAGGCAACGTCCTAGCCAAATTTTAACTTAAACAAGCAGATCGATCTATTGTTGTTTACAAAGTTGAAGCTTAATTGATCATCTAAGTTATGATCTTATATTTATTTTCTTATCAAAAGTTATGTTGAATATTTTGAAAGAACGTAAATGAGCAAAACAGTTTTATTTATTTTTTGTCAAAGATGAAAAACATATCCCTAACAAACAAAAGTTGTTGGGTGTTTATTGAACAGATAAAAATTGAATCTTATATCTTTTAAAAAAATAATCAATTTTTCGATAATACACTAGTATATTGTATTTGAGTTCAAAGTAGTGCACATTTCTTCTCTTTTTAATTTCTAGGTTCTTCCATACATTAATTCATGTGAAATCTGTATACCCAATGCTTGTATTTATGCAACTGTTTAATTCTTATTTCTTGAACTTTCTTGCTTACTAAAATGATGTGTGTCAGATTTTTCTCTGGGAACCGGTGGAAAACACTCCATATCTCTCTCTACATGGTCCATGACATTTCTTAGAATTTTTATTTGCCATGAGATCATTTAATAAGCAACCATACCTTTCCCTTGTGTTTTTCACAAAATGATTTTTAATAAAACCGTGAAACAGTTCTTTTTGGTAAGAATCTCATAAGGTAGAAATTTTCACTTTTAAAAATGAATTCCAAGGACAAACCAAACTCTTGATCCCAAAGGTATTTCTCCACCAATTTATTTTTATACTGTAAAAATATTTTCTTTTTAAAAGTGAATTCTAAGGTAACCCATGCAAAGTCTTGATCTCAATGGTATCTCTCCACCAAAAATGTATGTCGTTTTTCCCTTCGTTTTTGCGATCAAGTTCCTTTCTAAATATTTCAACCTCCAATATAATCTAGTAAAACATTTTTACTAGAAAATGATTCATAAGCACATAGATGGTCAAAATTCATCATATGATAAGATCATAATTCCCAATAAAGTTTTGACTAGATAACTACAAAAATAAATAAGCTTGAACTCTCTTTAAACAAAAATGATAATAAAAGATGAAGTAGAAAAGAAAAGAAAAAAATTATGAGAGATACCATTGAGAAAAGAAAAGATAAGATAAGTTGGGATTAAGTTGTATACACATTATCTTACTGAAAGTACGAACCAATTGTTTTCTCAGGCAGAATGGGATATGTAACAAGAAGATTCCACCTGTTCCATTGCATCGTCCGGTTACTAGGTCAGTAAATTTCAAATGATTTATGCTTCAATGTCACAATTGTATTATGAGTTTGGTTAGGAGCTCTAATTCTTGATTTAATTTCAGGAAATTTGCTGCTCAGTTAGCTGAGAACAATCCACAAGGAGGTAACTTTATATTGACACAAATTGAATTTGGTAATTGAAAACATGACATGGTTTAGGTTGTCTAATCTCAAGTGTTTTTTTTTGTGGTTAGGAAACCAAGAAACCAGACTTGATTTCGAACGAAACATTAGATAGAATCAAAACAGATGTGGAAGAAGGAGACTTTAATGAACCAATGTTTGTTCAACACACTGAAGCCATGCTTGAAGAGATTGACCGAATGGTAAGAATAACAATTTGTTGGTTACTCGGATGAAGATACATGTTGTCTTTTATCTGCAGGAAGGAATTGAAATGGAAGATTCAAATGATATTGATGTTGAAGTAGAAGAGTCTGTGATGGATATAGACAGCTGTGACAAGAACAATCCTCTAGCTGTAGTTGAATACATCGATGACATATAATGCTTCTACAAGAAAAATATTGGTTACATATGGGATTTTCATGTTCTTGCAAGCATTGGATCATTTATGCTTTTCTTTTTCTTTTCTTTTTTTCCGTGGGAGTTAACAGAGAGAGAGAAGAAGAAGAGCATTGAGGATTTTAATGGAGAAAGATATTTGTAGAAGACATCTTTCAAGAGAAGGGATAGGATGTGTTTGGGTGTTTATGAGCATGTTTGACTTCAGACATGGTGGATCTAGCCAGAAGCTTTTGATGGATAAGAAACGTGGAAGCAAAACAATCATAGGTTTTTCTTCTTCTCTCTTTTGGGTATTGGAATGTGTCTGAACCAAAAAAGATTCTTACGTTGTTGGTTTGATGAAACAATGCAAGTAATAATGGAATGTTTGAGACTAAGGTTGAGAAGCAGCTTACTTGTGACTGTGAGGTCTTTGTTAAGTTTTTGTTGGATTTAAGAATCAAACTTGCTTTTGTTGTGTATAATGGTTTTGTGAGGAATGAAAAACTAAAGTAGATTGTTTTGTCTCAGGAAAGTGAAGCTGAAATGCAGAGTGTCAAGATACTAAGATGAGATTGATGAGAAGACTAAGAAAGGTAAGAGATGTTTGTGTATTCATCATTTTATATAAGACTCTGATGTTTGTTATGTATTGTCTAATCAAAAACCAGTTTTAAGACAACTTTACAATTGCTCTGTTTCATTACAATGGGATAGCAAGTGAGTGGAATGACGAGTTTGAGTGGAGCTAAATTTGATTCAATCTAAATGTAAGGTTGTGGCGGAGACGGTGAGAAGAAGATAGCTCAAATGAGAGTCTTGGAGATGACGATAATCAGCATAATCATCACATGAAGAACTTACCATCAGGTCGTAATGGTTGTGGGAGAGGACACAGAACGTTTAGGAATGGTCATTTCAACACCGGTGGTGGTAATTAATTACGGTGCGAATGGTTATAGCGGTGAGAAGAGGAAAGCTCCAGCTGTGGAGAATCAATTGCCTGTGAGTTTGGAGGATCTGTATAACGGTGTGAAGAAGAAGATGCGTTTATCTAGAAATGTCTACGATGCTTCTGGGTATGTTTTCTTCTTCATCTCCCTCTCTATATACATATAGACCAGAATCAAGACCTAGAAGAATCTTTCCTTTATGCATTGCTATTGTATACGACTAATTGTAACTGAGTAGTTTTGGTGATTGGTTTGTCTCAGAAAAGCTTAAGACTTTGAATATCTTCTGGTCTCGTGATGAAAACTGAAGTTGTTGGAAAGGAAAAAAGGGTACTTTATTCGTTGGAGTCCAGGAATGAAGCTTATGACACTGTTATGATTCGTGTTTCTGTTTGATCTTGCAGGAAAATGATGGTAGAGGAGGAGATATTACCTATAGATATAAAACCTGGTTCGAAGAAAGGTACAAAGCTCACATTCCCTAAGAAAGGCAATGAAGAGCCTGGAATCATACGAATACAAAGGTGCTAGAGAAATTATAGAAAACCCAACCGACAAGACCAAGGTGCACCTCATTTACGCCAATGTCGTATCGTGTGCCTTCTCTTAAAGGTAAAATTGCCTCTCACCTGGCTGACTCTTATGAGTCGAGAACAAGTATTGCGTTTTCATTGACTATTTTCAAATACCAAATGTTATATGAATCAATACAATTTTTTTTCCAAGACGAATTGGAGGGTCTTACCGCCAATTACCCAGATCAATTCAAAATCTACTATGTTTTGAACCAGGTTAGCCTTGAAATCCAAATATTTTTGCATTTCTCTAAATAACTAAAAGACACTCTTTCTGATACCTTTTTTTTGTCTTGGTGTTGACAATGATTAGCCTCCGGAAATATGGGTTGGTGGTGTTGGATTTGTAAAATCACTGTTGCATATGACAAGGATCTCTGTTTGTTTTATGAGTCTACAAGGACCAATGGACAAGATTACCACCGTTGCTATTCCTCTTACCTTAGCTGCAAGTTCTGAATATATGATTGTAAGTCCATATGTTCAGTTTCCTTTTTGTACTATTTTGTGTAAAGTGTTTTGGTGAATTAATTTGTTGAATTTGGTTTATCTAAGTTGCAGATTTGGTTGAGAAATTCCATGTTTTGGTTTTCTATGTCATAGATTGCAAATTTTGTGAAATATTTTTCATATTTTGGTTTCAGAAATAGAGGAAGGACGCGGAAGTGAAGTCTGAAGAAGAAGAAAAGGACGAAGACAAAGTGGAGGAAACTAGCATATTGACTAATGTAATCTTGTGTCATTGTCATTATTAGATAACACTTATAAATCATTCAAGGAGATGGGTTATCCATGGATGACTCAGGTAATATTCTCAAATTGAATCTTACGTTTTTTGTATAGCAAAGATTCGACCTTTTTATAATTTTGAATTTGGTTGGATTTCAACACTTTTGCAGATACAGACAAAAGCAATTCCACTATTGATGATGGGAAAAGATGTACTCCTGCTGCAGAGCTGCTAGGACATGTTCTGGTTAAACCTTAGCTTTTCTTACTCCTGCTGCAGAGCTTCTATACCATGTTCGGTTTACTCCTCACAATGGAACTGGTGTTATTGTCATTTGCCCAACAAGAGAGCTTGCGATTTAGGTCCAGATTTGTCACACTTTTTCTATATATCATTTGAATCTGTCAAGATTGATACTTATTATACATCATCAATGTTTCAGTCTTATGGAGTGGCAAAAGATCTTCTTAAGTATCATCCACAGACTGTTGGAAAAGTTATTTGCGGTGAGAACAGAAAGAAAGAAACTGAATTTCTTGTGAAAGGTGTTAATTTATTAGTAGACTTCTTGACCACCTTGAAAATACAAACTCGATTGGTGTTCTCATCCTCATTTCTTCAAATTTGTTTATTTTCAAATTTGCGTATAGCACTGGTGATGTATCGTGTATTATTAGTTGAGTTCTTTTGGTGTTTTTCTTCGGATTCGTGGCAATGGTAAGTCTGTGTATGTGTTTACTATCGATTTCTGGATTTATTGCTCTGCATCTTTGTCTCTTTATATTGTTTCATTTGTTTTTGCTCTATGTACTCAATGCTTTGTTCCTGCATTTTAGATCTTGGTTAACGGTTGTTTCTCAGTGTTGGATAAAAATTCTCCTTCATTCTGCGTTGGTAAAAGCATGTATCTATTAAGGATGGAATTGTTGTTGAATTCTGGTTTACAGAGACTAATTGAACAGTTCTGCTCTTTCGAATGTAGTTTTATTTAACATCAAACTCTTATGTGTACTGGTTTTCTCGAATGGTGATGCATATTTCTTTAAATCAGTTTCAAGTGTGGTGGAGATTTTGTGGTTCTGGATTTATCGAGTTTGATGATCCTTGTGCTTTTTACTGCAGAAACTTTTCGTATCCATGTCGGAGGTTTAACAGTCACTTCCCTACTCAATGCAGAATGCACTCTCTCCATTGATGAAAGGATTAGTCGGTTCAAGCATTCGGATATCGATGTGAAATTTTGTATTAAACAGAAACACGAATCATAACAGTGTCATAAGCTTCATTCCTGGACTCCAACGAATAAAGTACCCTTTTTTCCTTTCCAACAACTTCAGTTTTCATCACGAGACCAGAAGATATTCAAAGTCCTAAGCTTTTCTGAGACAAACCAATCACCAAAACTACTCAATTACAATTAGTCGTATACAATAGCAATGCATAAAGGAAAGATTCTTCTAGGTCTTGATCCTGGTCTATATGTATATAGAGAGGGAGATGAAGAAGAAAACATACCCAGAAGCATCGTAGACATTTCTAGATAAACGCATCTTCTTCTTCACACCGTTATACAGATCCTCCAAACTCACAGGCAATTGATTCTCCACAGCTGGAGCTTTCCTCTTCTCACCGCTATAACCATTCGCACCGTAATTAATTACCACCACCGGTGTTGAAATGACCATTCCTAAACGTTCTGTGTCCTCTCCCACAACCATTACGACCTGATGGTAAGTTCTTCATGTGATGATTATGCTGACCATCGTCATCTCCAAGACTCTCATTTGAGCTATCTTCTTCTCACCGTCTCCGCCACAACCTTACATTTAGATTGAATCAAATTTAGCTCCACTCAAACTCGTCATTCCACTCACTTGCTATCCCATTGTAATGAAACAGAGCAATTGTAAAGTTGTCTTAAAACTGGTTTTTGATTAGACAATACATAACAAACATCAGAGTCTTATATAAAATGATGAATACACAAACATCTCTTACCTTTCTTAGTCTTCTCATCAATCTCATCTTAGTATCTTGACACTCTGCATTTCAGCTTCACTTTCCTGAGACAAAACAATCTACTTTAGTTTTTCATTCCTCACAAAACCATTATACACAACAAAAGCAAGTTTGATTCTTAAATCCAACAAAAACTTAACAAAGACCTCACAGTCACAAGTAAGCTGCTTCTCAACCTTAGTCTCAAAC